GAGGAGCAGAGGAGGGAGGAAGAGGAGCAGAGGTGGGCGGCAGAGGAGCAGAGGAGGGAGGAAGAGGAGCAGAGGTGGGCGGCAGAGGAGCAGAGGAGGGAGGAAGAGGAGCAGAGGTGGGCGACAGAGGAGCAGAGGTGGGCGTCAGAGGAGCAGAGGTGGGCGTCAGAGGAGCAGAGGAGGGAGGAAGAGGAGCAGAGGCGGGCGACAGAGGAGCAGAGGTGGGCGTCAGAGGAGCAGAGGAGGGAGGAAGAGGAGCAGAGTTGGGCGTCAGAGGAGCAGAGGAGGGAGGAAGAGGAACAGAGGTGGGCGTCAGAGGAGCAGAGGAGGGAGGAAGAGGAGCAGAGGTGGGCGGCAGAGGAGCAGAGGAGGGAGGAAGAGGAGCAGAGGTGGTAGGCGGTGGTGGCGGAGGAGGAGGCGTTGTAGGTGGATCAGGGATAACCTCTACATGGACCTGGAGTCGGTCCTCGATGTGATTTCTTGTTAAATTCGCTCCGAAGCGWCGCAGCACAGGAGGAGTTGGCTTGTGACTCGGTGGAGGGGTGCCTCCCTCACTGAGAGTCACAATGATGCTGGGCGGAGCTTCTGTAGTTGATGCAGTTGGAGCTTTGTGGGTGGGACTTTGCGTGTGATGCTGAGGGGTCTCGGGAAAAACCGACAGTAGAATATCGGATGACAGCGAACCCCTGGAATCTCTGCTTTGCCGTTGCCTCATTTCCTGACGCGCCTGTTGCTCAAACTGCCTGGCTTGTTCTTTCACTGTCAGCTTCGGTTCCAGACTCGGGCTTCCCGTTAAGTCGGAATCCAGTCCACGATCAAAACCAGAATCCAGACCGGCGTCTTTACTTTCCTTGAATTCTGCTTTCAGGAGTTCCAGCTCCCACTGCACTGGATCCATCACCACTTGCCGCCTTAGAGCATCATACATCTGTCTTTGATGGAGCCTAGACGGGAGAGTCCAGCTGTGTCCACTGCCTGATCCCCATCCACCGTCACTGCCGCTGTAACCGCCAAACGCCAGGTCACACCCAGGCGAGCTGAGCCTCAACCAGGCCTCTCGAAGGGCTTTTCTGGACGGGGAGAAATTCCCAAGAAGGTCTCGCTTTCTCTGACTTTTCCCATGAATCTCGGGACTACTCAGAGTCCCATCCTCATGATAGATGGGGTTTTTGGTAGTTCGAGGGTTTTCATCAGACAGAAAGGTAATGTTGGACTCGGACTTGGGGAGGTTGTTGAGCACCCCTCCGTTTGCGACGCACTGGCGATGGGCAGCGATAGCTCGTGTAGCAAAATCAGAGATCAGACGCTGGCGGTCACTTTCATCCAAGCTGGCAGATTTGCTGCCACCACCGTTGTTCGACCGGCTGAGGGATGGATTCATGGGGTAAAAATGAGACAGGAAAGGAAAATGAAGAAATGAACAAGAAAAACGTATCTCTACAAAATGAAAGCTAGATGAAATTGAATTGTGAGATGAGAACCGAATAAAAATTTAATGAAGGATTCATAACACAAATGATAAAATGGAATAATGTACGAAGAATAAATCAGAAAATAACAAAATACGTTCCAACTGTGATTKGATAAATGTACCAAAAACAGACTTAAAGGATGAAATGAATCACAAGACRTTTATTCTCTGTGCTGTTTTTAACCAGGAAAAATATGTTGGAGCACTAAAATAGATTGAAAACAGGAAGACACATGAAGTAACTCATATTAAACAATGCTACGACAGCACAGCCCTAAAGCCACTTCTGCTAGGGGGGGATGCACATCTGAGTGTCATGTAGAGCAGTGGTTCCCAAACCTTTTGTCTTCTGACCCACAAAATATCCATGGCAAAAACTTGTGACCCCAAATATTACTGATCTGAGTACATGAACTTTGTTAATAACCCTAAAAACACAGGCTTTTTGACAATCTAAACAGCTTATACACAAATATAAATACTTATTTATAATTATTTTGTGTTTTTGTAATAAWTATAGGGAAAATATTACATCAGCAATTATTTTATTACCCTTTAAATTGATTTCTGGAAATTATCCAAGGTGCTTCATGACCCATAATTGGGTCCCAAGCCCAACTTTGGGAACCAAAGTGCAGTGGTTCCCAAACTTTTCAGCTTTTGATCCACAAAATAACAGCAGCAGAGACCTGTGGCCCCAACTATTTTTGGATGATAAACATTTCTATCAGGTCAACAAAACATGGGCATTGTAACAATATTTTTATACTACATTTATCCATTTTAAATATACTAACCTCACTCATTTGTAACAACTAAGGCAAAAATGTAATTAATTCAGAAAATCTTTTYAGGACCCACCTTGATGTTTCGGGACCCCACTTTGGGTCCTGACCCCAACTTTGGGAAACACTGTAGAGAGTATGCAGATTTCTCCCAAACAAAAGACAACTTCTTATTTTTTTTATTTTTTTAGCTGACAGTATGTTAATTAAAAAAAACCAATTATGTTATCAGTGACTGTGATGAAATCTGCACACTTGTTATCTCACGACACATGACTGGCTACATCTATGTTCAAGCGACCAAACCACTGGGATGAAATGTTTTCCACCGATTGCAAACTCTGTCTGCAACTCCATTTTGTTCATCAATTTTCCATGCACACAAAATCACTTCACCACAAAACTACAATCTTGCCTAATGCTAAACTAGTCACAGATATGAAGCAATTTTTATTTTCCTACTCACTTTTGCCTGATGAAGATTTGAAAAATAAGAAAGAGAAAAGAGATTAGGAAAAAAAAAAGAATAAAAACAACTAGAAAAAGAAAATACTGTTGAGAAGAAGAGGGTACAAAAAAGAGCTCAAGTAACGTCAGTGAAATGCACAGAGTAAGCCAGAGGACATTTGTTAATTTCATTAACATTACAAAGCATTGCCAGCAGTTTCGTTAAAACACTTTGCAGCTGAAAATGGAAACTACCTAAATATTAATACAATTGTAAAGAAAACTGGCAACACAAAGAAATAGATATTAATTTTATTTAAAAAACAACAGCTTTCTAACCAAATCAATTAATTATTTTACATAGAAATAATTGAGTTATTCTAAAAAGAATAATATTTACCATGTTTTTATAATGGAATTACTATTGTATAATAACAGCAACAACAACAAAAGCTATAAAACTACCTCTTTTCATCTCTTTACAGCACATGTACAGCTTTTATACCACATTCCATATTTTCTGTGGGCAGCTGAAGGTTTGCTATGAGTGAGTGACGGCTCAGTTTACAGCAGTCTGAACATAAGTAGAACAGAAGAGAAATTGCCAGATGGTATGTGAGACAATGGCTGGATGCTGACTGAAGACTGCAATTCAGATTTGGGAAAAATTGYGCCAAGATGATGCTAGTGTATCCCACAGATACACTTTAACATCATCATATGCAACAACTTAATCCCACATGAGTAAAAACAACAAGACCATTACACAATGACAAGCATACACCATGTTAAAGCTTTAACTTTCTCACCATTCAGCTCAACACATATCCAAATCTGGAACACATGGTCACATTTCACATACAGTACATCACAAACACCACAGGACTTCAGGAAACATGCTTCATTTTCCCACATCATCAAAAAAAAAAAAATAAAATAAAAAAGTAAAATAATAATAAAAATCCAAAGATGACAGCACTCGTGGCAAAGTCTAAGGCATGAACATAGAGAATATTAAAATGTTCAAACTTTAAGCGGGGTTGTACTTTCAAATTCTTAACTAAGAGTTGAATATTTTGTTACACCAAATAATGTTACATGCAGTAAAGTGCAAAACAACTTGTTTATTAAAACAAACAACAAATACTTCTACTAAACTGTGGCTTTTAGTGTTACTTTGAAATCTAAATTTATTTATTACACTGCTAATAAGAAAGTCCTTTAATGTAGAACAGAAAATAAATATTAAAACCTAAACCACACTTGAGAACAACTAAAGATAATAAAGCTTAAAATTGAATTTTACAGAGTAAATCTGGTCTGTAWAATTTTTTACATTTCAGCAGATTTTATAGAATTTTGAAATTTAGTCCCTACAAAATGGCAATATAGGAYGGAGTATTAGTGCCACACAACAAGATTTATTACGAGAATACAATCATAATATTTTGCCATTAAAGTCGTAACAGATAAAGTCATATGAAAGTAAAGTTGTAATATTACGACATTAAAGTCAATATTACGAGATTAAAGTTATAATGTTATGAAAAGCTTTACACGAAAAAGCAGTCTTACCACTGCATTAAAACGAGGAATGTTGAGCAACTTGTGAAGTTGTTCTTTAGTATCAGTTAAAATAAATACTTAATCTTTTAGCACATTAGCATCAAATTATCAGTAGCAGTACTTTGTAACGATAGTGCAAACATATGATAAACTGAAGCCGTGAAGAAATTTACCGTTTATCACTGATTGTTAATGCATCACACATACTGTTTTATTTTGAGGTTAACTAGGATGTATTTTGATTACTTATTATGCGTAATTATTTACTTTTATGATTAAACTGTGATTTAGTGATGTGCAATCTGCTTTGAGTGGCTTATGTCACGTTCAACTCAAACAGAATGTACTCTCCTTGACACATTAGTTAATACATGCCTTAATCACTCWCAACACATATCTTTATAGTAATCAGAACTGTTGTTACTGAGCCAAGTTCTTTCGTAGGGAGTTCTGCCCCAAATCTGATGTATTGCTGGAAAAGGGACTGGGCTCAAGAAGAAGGTGTTATAATGTGCTTGCTTCCTGAATTCAGGGCCAGATGTAAAGACAGTAAACGTCTGTATCTGGACCAGTAGGTTGGTTTTGTATGGGTTTCTTATTTGCACATAACATTCAAGTCTTATCCGACACACATCGGAGTAACCAAACACGCATTATTTTTCAGTCGTATTGAAATAATGGCTGCATTGTCAGATTTAGTCATCACATAATTTGGATGAAAACATTTTAAACTTGAAGCACTTGGAGAGTGCAAACCTCCGCCAAGGCCAATTTCCCCCATCTTATGTAACCACCTGGCAAAAATCTGTAGGCTTGAACTCACGCCGTCACGTAGCCCTGKCCAGGTCACATTGCTCAATGGTATGAACCAATCTTAGTCAATCCTCATCTGTACAAAAGAAATGTAACTTTCATCTTTCCTGGTCATCTTACCAATTTATGATGTTTTCCCAAATCACATACCATTGCCTATGGGCAATATCAGGTCAGGACTGACGGCTGTCTCACAGATATGACATCACACATGCGACCTAAAGGGGCACACCAATACTACAGTGTCACCTGCTGGACACTTTGAAACCCACTTGGGACATGAAAAAGAAATAATGGTGATTTGACGTGTTAAAAGGAAAAAAATTCCTGTATCCGCATCGTGATCCGGAACATCATCAAAATTTAATGGTGTGTTCCTTGGCCCAGTATCCACATGTGATAAAAATGTCATGACAATACATCCACAAGTTTTTGAGTAATGTTGTCCACAGACAGAACAACAGAACGACTGACAGACGGACAGACATACGCGACTGAAAACATTACCTCGCCCTTGGCGGAGGTAACTAACAGTGACGTATATGGCTGTCCATAGGAAAATCAGGAGAAAACGAGGAAAAAAAATCAGGAACGGAAAATGGACATGCCATGTTAATTATGACTTTTTTYTCATTATGGTATGACTTCTTTTTCATAATATTATGACTATTCTCRTAATTTMAAAGAAAATAAAATCTCGTTGTGTGGCCCTRCTTTGTYGTAGCAATGATACGTAAGAGACAAAGATTTTACAAGAATCCCTAAATTCACATATGGAAAACACTGACCACAACAATTAAATAAGCTTTGCAGCTTATCAGTTATTGCCCAGGGTGGTCTTTATGTTTTGAGCCGCATTTATATCAATTATCTCAAATCCGAGTTCATTTCCGTACTCATTTTTCAGAGGATTGCTCGGGCTGTAGTTGTCTCGCATGC